ATGTAATTTCATATTTTCATTACCGAACATAATAATTACTATGAATTTTTGAAGTTGATTCTAATACAAACCAACTACTATTTTTCTTTTTTTAGCAACTTGATACCCATGTGCACACTATTAACTTTTACCACACAATCTTCTCGTTAAAAAGCTTCAAGTAGATAATGGAAAAGATGTTTGCCAAATTTTGGTTCACCAAATTCTAAGAATTCTTCTTGTTTGGTTGACGCTTTATTGATTTTGAAGCTAAAAATGTTAAATTATCATGTTGGTCGCTATTTAATGGAAAGCTTCTAAAGTTCATTGTTATTTTAGGCTAAAATGACCTACACAGAAAAAATTATCAAACTTTGTTGTTTTTCATTGATAGAACTAAAATGAAACGGTTAAACCACAAATATAACAAAAATATAATAATTTCTCTGCAGTTTGTTTTATTAGTATAAATTGAATTATTTATTTATTTATTATTTCGTTTGTATTTATTTTGAAATTTACTTTAAAAATACTTAATATTTACATCTTGATATTTAATATTTTCTTTAACAAAATGCTTAATATTTATATCTTTATGTATAATTTTTTTTAATCAACCCAACTTATACAAGTCTCAAATCTAGTTTGTGTTAAAGAGGAACTAAACCTTTTTATTTTTTGTAAACTATAGATATTATGTAACCAACATCAATACGCTTTTTTTTGTCAAAGATATCATTATTTATAGTGGTTATATTATTCAATTTTCCTATTAAAAATGTTAAAAGGTAATTATTCTTAATAAGGATCAAAACCGTATCAAAATGAAACTATAAGGATGCCACCGATAAATAAATATTTGAAAAGTTGACAACTACCAATTCTACTAAACCATGAGATCATCTTCTACAATTTACTAGAAATAATACAAGAAATGAATCTTTTTTTGAAAAAAATAATAATCTTGTAAATAAACTTTATGTTTTATATCCATTCTTGTTTCTTGGTTAAACGATGAAGTCTCTTTCTAGTTTCTAACCAGAGTCCCCCTACCTCCCTACTCTGTTCTCTAATTTTCCTTTTATTTTTTCTCTTTTCTCTCCATCTTCATCTCCAAATCTTTGCACTCGTTACCCTTCTTCTTCTTGTCCTTATATTCTGAACTTTATAATCTCCTTATTTTATTTTGCCCTTTCTGGTTCATTTTTTTTTGTGGGTATTGATTGTACAAGCACTACCCCCATTGGAGTACCCTAATAATCCAATCTTGATTTGTGTTTTTCTTTGAATTTGGATTCTCTTTTCCAAGAAAGTTAAAAAAAAAAAAAAAAACACCCTTTAAGATTTTCACTATAAATAATCTTTGGGGTTGCATAAAGCATAACCGGTGAGAATTTCAATGGGGGTTTTTCAACTATGGCTGATATCTCTAGTCACGATTCCATTCCTATGCTCGTTGGAATCAGTGAACGGAATTGGGGCAAATTGGGGAACGCAGTCGTCGCACCCACTTCCGCCGGAAACGGTGGTGAGGATGCTGACAGATAACGGAATCCAAAAGGTGAAGCTTTTTGACGCCGATTATGGTGCGCTAAAAGCTTTGGGTAAGTCTGGAATTGAAGTTATGGTTGGAATTCCTAACGACATGCTTGCTACCATGGCAAGTAGTATGAAAGCTGCCGAAAAATGGGTTTCGAAAAATGTCTCCGATCATATCAACAATAATGTTAATATAAGGTTAGTATTTCGTTGATTCTTGTTTTTCGTTATGATTTTAGTTAACCCTAGGTGCAATTGTTATGTTGCTTGTTCTTGATTAGTGAATCTAAAATCTAAATTATGTTCATTTACTGTTTGTCACCGGAAAAGTTACTATTTTGTGTGATCGGAATGAAAAGTGGTGGAGGGTATTTTGGTCTTTTCAAATATGAGAAGTAATCGCATCCATTGCATGTCAAATGCATTGTGTCATGTGATCGTGTCTTGTCAGAATGTCTTCATTGCTCTTTTCGGGGATGTTTGGTGGTTTGTTTTCAAAGCAATATTGTGACTTTTGATAACAAATAATTAAGTGGTTAAAGTTATTAAATTAGTTAGGGAATCTCACATTTATCACAATAATCGACTTTCGTATTTTAACTTTGGGAGCCTTTGTGCACATGTGTTTCATGGGTGGAATAGGGTTAAGGACGATTTAATGAGAATTTGGTCTATTATGTTGGATTCATATCATGACAAAATAAGTTGTACTATATTTGTTGAAATCTGAAGATATTGTACTATAGGACACAATTATAACATTGTACATTTACTTTTATATTTCTTATTACATTTTTTAATTCTTATTGGAACATTATATTTTGATATAATTTGGTATTTGTATTAGGTTGCTATAATTTGATAGATATTTCAATGTACAATGTTGTATAGGAAATAAAATTATGATGGTATAATAAATAAATAAATCAAAGGACATTGTTATTTCTTGCAAACATCTATTCAGTTATTTTCAGTAAACCTATTTGTTATAGTCGTATTTATGATGGTATAATAAATAAATAAATCAAAGGACATTGTCAAGATTAATGTTGAAAAGACCAAAAATCTTCTGTAAACCTATTTGTTATAGTCGTATTTATGTATTTGTTTTATAAACATAATTCATTTCTATGGATTTGCAAACATTGTAATAATTGTCATGACCAACTATCCAAAAGCATAAGTTTGTTTTTGTAAATTTTTTCATTTAATCACTTAACTATTTTAGGTACTAATTAAACATTTATAGTCATTTCCACTGTTTATAAAAACCAATTTTCCATGTTACTCGATTTTGAAAAAGATCAATATACAACTAAAAAAAAACATTTATTTTTACCATTTTCTTGAGAAACTATTATCTTTATATTTAATGGCTCAATAGCTAAATCAATAAAAATGCTTCTATGATTAAATCAAGAGAAATCAAATATCTTCTACTTTTTCTTTTTCTATATCTATTAGATCAGGATAAATATCAAAACCAAAAAGAAGAGATTAAGAAAAAGATAATTAGTGGATTCCACAAACAATTATTTTTTTTTCAAAAATTATAATATGATTTAAATTTAATCACCAATTAAGCAAAATTTCTTGATTTGAGGTTTTCTTTACAGATATGTTGCAGTAGGAAACGAACCATTCTTGTCAACATACAACGGAACGTTTCTAAAAACCACCTTGCCGGCGCTCCAAAACATCCAGGCGGCGCTAATCAAAGCCGGGCTCGGCCCCAAAGTCAAGGTCACCGTCCCCCAAAACGCCGACGTCTACGAGAGCTCAACCGGTGTTCCATCAAGCGGCGATTTCCGAACAGACATTCACGATTTCATGATCCAACTCACCAAATTCCTAAACGAAAACGGATCTCCATTCACAGTCAACATCTACCCCTTCATAAGCCTCTACATCGACTCCAATTTTCCAGTGGAATACGCGTTCTTCGACGGAAACGCAGCTCCGGTGAACGACGGCGGCACCACCTACACAAACATGTTCGATGCCAACTACGATACCCTCGTGTGGGCCCTACAAAAGAACGGATTCACAAATATGGGAATCATAGTGGGTGAAATTGGGTGGCCGAGCGACGGAGATCGAAACGCGAATAATCAACTAGCGCAAAGGTTTATGCAAGGGTTCATGAGTCATATTGCCGGAAATAAAGGGACGCCATTGAGAACAGGTCCGATTGATGCTTATTTGTTTAGTTTAATCGATGAAGATGAGAAAAGTATCCAACCGGGGAACTTTGAAAGACATTGGGGGGTTTTTTCTTACGATGGGCAACCGAAATACGCGTTGAACCTTGGAATGAACAATGCCGGAGCTTTGATTCCGGCGAATGGGGTGAAGTATTTACAGAAGAAATGGTGTGTGATGAAGGATTCAGCGAGATTAGATGATCCATCGATTGCACAATCGGTGAGTTACGCTTGTGCTCTTGGGGATTGCACGAGTCTTGGATATGGAACTTCTTGTGGTGATTTGGATGCAAGAGGGAATGTTTCTTATGCTTTTAACAGTTATTATCAGAAGAATGATCAAGCCGATGAAGCCTGCAAGTTTCCGAATGTTTCCACGATTACGAAAGAGGATCCATCTAAGGGGACATGCCAGTTTAATATTATGATTGTGCCGTATTATGGAGGGGCAAATCGGTCATTTCAGTCGATTTGGTCGTTCCTTCTTGGATTGGTTATGTTTTTACTATTGTGAGTTTGACTTTTTTGGTGAAACTTTGGTGGAAGATTGAAATTTTGGGGATGTTTGATGTTTGATGTTTGGGTAGATATTTAAGAAGGTAGTTTGATTTTAATTAATGGAAGTGTGAAAGTAGAGGGATGTGGATGAATGTTTCTGAAACCTTGGGGTGTAGTTTGAGCGTAATTGTATTTATATGGCTTGAATATGAAACGTTGATGTGCTATAGCCTATAGCTAGTTGTATCCTATTTATCTCGTGGGCTCGTGGTGTTAATGTGTTATGTTTTACCCCTCATTTTTCATCAATTACTAAAGTCTGCCCTGTATAATCTTTTCTTTCATAAGGCACCAATCTGGAAATAAAAGGAAAAATAAATAAAGTTAGATTAGTAAAGATATTTCAAAAATACCCGTTAGTCTTAACCATTTAAAAAAAATATCAAGACTTTTCTTTCATAAGTCTGCCCTGTATAATCGTTTGGTTGATGTAGTTTGAGACTTTAAGTTGTTGGCTTGTTGCTTGTGTGGTTAAGAAACGACGTTTGGACATCCATTCGTAATACCATTTATGTTAAATGACAATATATTAAAGAAAAAGAAAAGCAAATAAATGATGAAAATCTTTGTACCATAGAAAGCCTTATTTATATGACTTTATCCATTAGAATATTCTTTTTTACATTAAGTTACAAGAAACTCTCATATATAATGTAAGTGTTATTAGTATATCCATTAAAAAAACATCCACATACAGCTTTTTTAGACCGACAAACACAACCACCAAATGGTTAATCCTACTATTAATTCTACACCTTTGTCTACCATATAATTTAAGAGTGATATATCTTTCTAATACATGTGATATCATTGAGTTACAAACCATTTGTTACGATTTATTAAACAATAAGTTTGTTTTTCACAAACTAGAAAAAACAAACCCTATTCCTCAAGATTGTTAATGGCTCACCTCGAACCACTAACGATTAATTTTTTCTCTTAATACCTTAAATAGCCAAAACATATAAAAAAAATAAAATATTTTTCTTTTCATATATTGCTAGATTGTTCCACATCATCAATTAATTCCATCCCTTTGGTTTCAAATGGAAGCATAACAACACTAAGTCCTGAAACAAGTATAGCAACCTCAAACAACATAATTGCGAGTGTTTGGTTGCAATTTGCAACCAGTCCAATTGCTATAATCGGGCATACCATGCCACCGGTTCGACCTATAGCTGTTGCTATTCCAACTCCTGTTGCCCTTAAGTTTGTTGGGTATACCTACAAAACCAAAACAAATAAAAATAGAGTGTATGTTGCTATTTTTTTAAACAGTTAAGTATTGTTTAGATAAACGATGTTTATAAGCATTACATAAAACAACAATACCAAAGAAAACAAATGAGAACAAATTAAAAAACATTAGGTTTCAACGGGGAAACCCTCATTTTTCTATTAAGCAATTCTTTCTCCATTAAATAAAAAAATATCGATATACATTTTTCCTAGTTACGTCATGTCATGTTAAATCAAAGTAAAAAAAGAAAACGTCGCCGATATGGTCTTTAGATAATGATGTTTAAATAATATTTGAGAAAACGACGACACATGAGAAAAAGACAAAAAAATATGAACAAATTTGTAAAAAATTAGGGTTAGTGGGCATTTTCCTGAATTTCTCTATTAAGTTGTTCTATTGATATTAAATAAAATAAAATAAACAATTCGTTTATAGTTGAGTCGTATCTTCCTATTAAATTCATTATGTATAAAAGAAACAAAAGCCTAACATGGTATATATTTACCTCTGGGGCGTAGATACAAGCGACAATGAAGCTTGTGGAGATGAACATACGAGCTCCAAATAGAAATGTTGTAGTCATTATTTGATTTTGATGAACAATAAGTGGTAGAAGTAGAATGAATCCCAAAAGAAACATAATTTTCATCGAGATCTTACGACCAAGTCTGTCTAATATGATGGCTGCCAAACCAAGCCCAGGGAGTTCTGAAATAAGCCCAAAGAGCTTATCAGACCTTTGCGACAATATATAACATGAAAGGTAAGTAAACTTTCTCGCTAATTATTTACTTGAATAAAATTTAAAATTTAGTATAAAACAATATTTAACTTTTTCTACAAACTATATATGCAACTACTATACATTCACTATGTAATCACGTTTCATTTGATCAAATATGTCACAAGTAAAAAGCTGCTTATTTAGTCTTAGCAAGTTAGCATGAAACATTTTTCATGATCTCATATTTCGTCTAAATAAACTTTTTTCTATATATTAAAAAAAAAATGAAACACCATTGCCTAAACAAATATAAAAATATATTGTTCCTATTCCCCTCAATAAAATAATAATCAGTTTGGTGACAAACATTTGGTTTCCCGTCCCTAAAACATTATTATTATAGTGCGTGACAACGATATCATCAAAATCCACCTTAACATTTCCATTTAAAAAGACATATATTCTCGTATCTAGCATTGGGAAGTAGTGACACTATTTGTTTCTTTTGGTTCTTAACATATTTTTTTTGTCGGCATTTTATTGCAATCAATGAACGAAAACAAAGTCAAAACAGAGGTATATATATACCTGCCAAGCTAGTTACAAACACATTCGTGTAGAGACTCGAATCCTGGATACTTTCCATCTGCGAAGCAATCATAGTACCACATTCGCCATTAGAAATGCTCAACTGTGAAGTCAGAAGCACAATACCATAATAAGAAAATGTATTTCCGAAGTACAAGGCCCATAACGGAAGTGTTGTCTTTATCAACTTAGGTGATAGTAGCATGGATATCGACGACACAGTAGTTCTATGATCATCCAAGGTTTCTAACGAATGAAACTCGTTATCAACTTTATTTATTTGATCGGACACTAGCATGCCAATGGGAAGTTCACGTTGATTGAGTGTTGATCCTCTCTCTAAAACATCACGTGCCTCAGTCAATCTGTCTTTCATGCAAAGGAACCTTGGTGACTCGGGTACATTACCATAAAACAATAACACAAGTAGAGATGGAAAAGCAGATAGACCGAGTAGCCATCTCCAACCAAATCTAGGCATGATCGACTGTAAGATAATATCATTTAAAAGAATGTATTAGTACGTAAAACTTAACTTATGATCATAAATTTAGCGATCTTACTTGATTTGATCATGTTATAAATTAGCAAGGAAAACATAAGCCGCAAATCTGAAAAAGGTGAGGGTTTGGAGGCGTGGATCCCAAATAAGGAGACTAGAGAACTCACTTACTATTCTCACCTTCTTGTTTTTGTTAAGTAAGTGTTCTATTAATTTAATAAACAATGTGATTTAGTAGGTCCATATGACTGCTGGTGAAGTATGTTAATTAAAGGGAAAATGGCTTATAAACCCAATGAAGTTTTCAAACCGTTCAAAAAACATCAATTATGTTTTGTCTATTCAAGAAAACTCAACGAATTAACCTTTTGTCTGAAAAAGCCCAACTAACTTACACTTTTGTTCACTTCTCATTTTGGGTCAACCAGCTAATGAAAATCAACGAATGACATGACTTATGATGTGTAATTAAATATCGTGAACATGACTTGCAAGACCAACGAAGTTTCGAAACCGTTCAAAAAACCTCAATCATGTTTTGTTTGTTAAAAAAACCCAACAAAGTTACGCTTTTGTTTAATTGTCATTAGAGGCAACCAAATTTATTAGGTATAAAATTAGTTGGCAAATGACATGACATTATATTTAATGACATGGAATAAACAGATGAGAATTGTCACTTATATATCGATTTAGGGCTTGGAGAAGATAAAACAGAGCGGTGTCTGTCTTCGATCTCTTGTAATAGCTACTTCTTATTCTTCCTCTCAATCGTTGATGTCCAACCCAAGATCTACAAAGAAGATATTTGATGATGAAAACCCTTGTGGATGTGGACGCCCTTCTTGGATTTGGACATCTAGAACGGAGGATCATCCAAAGAAAAAAGTTCAGGCTTGTTCGAACAAAGTTCATGGCTTGTTCGAATAGATGGTTAAGTGTAATTGAAAGCTTTATCGTGTCCATATTCTATCTATTTGGTTGGTTCTTTCAAAACCAAAAACTTATTAAAATGGACATGATAAAGCTTTCAGTTACACTTACCCATCTGTTCGAACAAGCCCTAAACATTTTCTTTGGATAATCCTCCATTATAGATGTCCAAATCCGAGAAGGGTGTCTACATCCACAAGAGTTTGCATCATCAAATATCTTCTTTGTAGATCTTGAGTTGGACAACAACGATTGAGTAGAAAAGAAGAAGTAGCTATTACAAGAGATCGAACACAAACGTCGTTCGTGTTTCTCTTCTCCAAGCCCTAAATCGATGTATAAAGGGCAATTCTAATATGTGTATTCCATATCATTAAATATAATGTCATGTCAGTTGCCAACTAGTTGCATACCTAATAAATATGGTTGCCTCTAATGAGAATTGAACAAAAGCGTAAGTTCGTTGGGTCTTTTTCAATAAACAAAACATGATTGGGGTTTTTTGAACGGTTTTGAAACTTCGTTAGTCTTACAAGTTATTTTCCGATATTTAATTACACGTTATAAGCCATGTCATTCGTTGACTTTCATTAACCGGTTGACCATAAATAAGAAGTGAATGAAAGTGTAAGTTAGTTGGGCCTTTTTACACAAAAGTTTTAGTTTGTTGGATTTTTTTTAATAGACAAAACATTATTGGATATTATTGGAGTTTTTTGAACGGTTTGAAAACTTCGTTGAATTTATAAGTCATCATTTCCCGTTAATCAAATGACGAGATATAACATACCCATGCGAGTGAAGCCTCAATAATGGTTCCAACAGTCCAAAATGTTGCAAAAACAACCATCCATGTTCCTCTTTTTTGAGTTGGAACGAACTCTAAAAACCATGATGTAAATACATGCCCACACCCTAGACCAATGCCAATGAAGCAACGAAGAATCAATAATGATGTATAGTTTGGGGCGAAAGCACTCAAAAATCCAGCTCCTGTTGTTACTATGGATGCACCAAGGAAACCCTTCCTTGTAAAGCCAAAAGCGAAATAAATATTCATGTTTTCAAAAAGATAAATCCCGAAAAAATGAGTACTAATTAATTAAACTTACTTTCTTCCATAGTTATCTGAAACGACGCCCCACATATATGCCCCCACAAGCATGCCGGCGAAAGCAACAGTTGAAATGAAGCTCTCTTCGCCGGAAGAAAGTCCCCATTCCGGTTGAATGGCCGGTCCGACGAACGACAAAAGCATCATCTCCATGGCTTCCGCTACCCAACCCAATCCAGCATATGCAAGCACGATAAACTGGAAGTTCCCAAACCCTATTCTGGAAAGTGCTTCATCTAACGTATATGAAACACCTTCATCTTTTGCAGGTGATCTTTCATGTTCCCCTTTCTCTGTTCTTTCAGTAGCTAAAATATATTCAAGTATTCATAAAAATACGTTTCAAAAGTTGAAATCATTTGCAGCTGCATGTATAATCATGCATGTATATATACAATTATGTTTCTTAATTTCGACGAGCGTTTGAAAATCATGTATAAAGGTTATATAAAAGGATGTTAGAAATATGGTTTAGTGGCACTTGGAAATCTGAGAATCGTGATAATCACTTTCAAATCGAAGTATTTGGGTGGTACTCCCAAATCCTCAATTGGATAAGACTCAGATAAAATCAAAGAGAAAGAAAGAGAGAATGAGATGGTGTAATTTTCGTGAGTACCAGAAAATTGACTAAAAATTGGTTATATACATTCCTTGTCTGAAAAACTGTCAAAACTGTCATATACAGTTTTCCTCAACAGTCAAAACTGTTATAAATCCGGGTTTGGTATAAGGATTAATGCAAAGTCAAAACCGGGTCAAATATTCAAAATTTGGATTTTCTGATGCAGCCAGGGGCTCTGCCCCTTGGACCCCGCTCCCAGGGGCGATGCCCCCGGACCCCCGTTCGTTCAGGGGTTTCGCCCTTAAATGACAGTGTATTTTGATACTTGATCAAACTTAAACAAGTGTGTACTTCACACCTTCCCTACTTGTTTAATATTTATCAAGATCATTTTTAGTCAACAAAATAATCCTATTACACTTAAATAACATTGATGATAACAAATCACCAACAAAAGACATTATTTTGGAGTTGCTTTTCAAATGAAGTAGCACTGTGTCACGTTAAGCATTGTGTCACATGAACCATATATCGTGTTTAGGTTTTTCGATTGTGGGTGTTTAAATTTCTAATTTTTTTTTGGGTATGTGTAATCTGTTTGTCTTTAATTTGATTAATGTGTGTATATTTTGCTTGGGTTTAGATAAAATTAAAGGGATGAGAGTACCTGTAGAGTTAGATGGTCTTTGCACTACAAAGCAAGATGCATTGCGGTTTGAAATGACTAATCTATCCCCAATCTGTTTATAGTTTTTAGTATATTAGAAATTGATATGATTAAATGCAACTATAAATTGTTCATGTTTTTTTACTTTTTTTTTTTTTTGCGTGATGTAAAGTTATAAGGTTATGCAAACGTCATGTAATATAAATTGCGAATTTAATTTTGATGAGATGATGGTTTATGTAGTTCATTTTAGCCCTGTTCTTGAGTCCATTTTAGGAGAAGGAAAGCAATCCAAAAGAAATTGTGTTCTTGACTTTTCTTTGACTCTTCTTGAGTTTTTTTTTATTTTTTTATTTTTTTTATTTTTTTTTTAAGAAAGAAAATAGAAGGAACATGAGTGTTTTTTAATGAGGGGAAGGGAGCAAAGTGGGAGAAAATGGGGGTTTTTAAAGGGAAGAAAAGAAACGGAAATATGTTCTTGAGTTTAATTTAAAGAAAGAAGAGAAAATAAATGATTCCGAGGGAAAGAAAATGTTTATTTTTTTTTATCAAATATTTCCTTTCACTTTTTGGTATAATTGGGAGAGAAACAAGAGGAAAAGAAAGTGGAAGCTAAGGAATGGAAAAGAAAAAGAAAAGAAACTTCTATTTACATCCTTTCATTTTTTTTAATATAAAAAAAACTACTTCCTTTCATTTCTTTTAAAAATGTAAAATAGTGTTTAAATCCATCTTTCTAGGCGGATTAGGAGGGGAAGTGTGTTAAAATTACATTTTTGCCCCTTCAACAACTCATTTTCCCTTAAATAAATGTCAAAAATGTAAAAAAAAAAAATTATTTTTTTCATTTTATTTCTTTCAACTTAAGAACACAATTTCCACTAAATTTTCGTCAAACTCAACAACACAACTAATTACGTTTCCCTTCAATTCATTTTTAAACCGGAGCACAGAAATACGATAAAAATACCTAATTATATAACTTTAGTAAGATAAAAATGGACTTAATAAGAAAGCAACTTCTAATTCTTTTACTAAATACATAGAAAGATTTATCTCATAAGCATATTAAGTAAAAGAACAACAAACTTTTAAGGAGAAAGAGTAGTAGAAGTACCAGAGAGTGGACATCGGATGTTGATCTAGATTCACGGCCAAAATATGAAGAAGACGACGGAAATGTTATATCCGGCGGTGGCACGACCGTCCATCCTACTGGTGTTGTAGAAAATGACTTCATAATTTATATATAAATAAAATAAATAAGGGAACGAATGTTTTTATTGGAGAATTTCAAAAAATGAAGAAGTGGAAGTGTAGAAGGAAAGGTAGAGAAGCCTACTTCAACAAAAGAAATGTAAATCTCATCCACAAACTGATTTCGAGCATCATACACCACATCTCTACTTTTTCACACATTTGAACTTCCAACTTCCGAATACATCTTATTTTTTGCTTTTTGAAAAAGAAAAAGATATTATGTTTGTTTTAAATGGAGTATTACACTTAAAAAAGTTATTGACAAAATATATCCTTGAAATTCTTCCACGTTTAGGAAAAAAAACATATTTTTCTTGAGAAAAAAAAAACAGATAAGTTTTCATATTAGAGATTTTAACCGATGCTGGCTGCAATTTTTATTTTAGTTATTTTATTTTAGGTATTTAATGGTTTTTTGAAAATAAAGTAAGACTTTTCCAATAAAAATCAAATACTAAAAAAAAGTGTTTATAAAATCTATGCTTTTATAAATTACAAACTAGGTGTGACAACCATATATTACATGGGTTGATTATATATATATATATATATATATATATATATATATACATACAGTTTTTTTAAAAGAAAACGTTAAACAGCATAAATATTAACTATTTTTTAAAATAATTTTCAAAATATATACAAACAAAATGATGAATAAATAAATAATTTAGTTTATACTGATAAAACAAAGAAAAATAACTATATTTTAACCATATAATTTCTTTTTTAGTTTATTAATAAAAACCAAGAAAGTTTGAAGATTTTTTCTATATAAACCATTTTGCTTAAAATAACAATAAACTTTGAAAGAAAACGTGCAAAATTTAAATTATATATATTAAAGAAAACATATTAAAATTTGAAAAAATAAAGAAACAAATTAATGACACATTAATTGCTTTCTATAACCTAAAAATTAGAATCGTTAATTAAGAGAATCGAAAATTACAATAAAATGTCAAGTGAAAATTAATTTCTAAAAATTAACCACAAAATTACATGTGTTAATATGTATGAGAATGTAGTATGTGGCAAAAAAATTCATTTATTATTATGGATTATTATTATTTTACTTTATGGATTATTATTTTACTATATTTTCTCTGATCTAACATAATAGAGAATACAATCACAACCAAATAAATCAACTTGATTGGGTATATGTCTCTCATATTCCCGATATGATACGAACCAACCCCATAGTTAAGATAAAACTAGATTTTTTTTTACTTTATCATTTTCCTTTTTAAAGTTGTATTATCTTACCTAATAAATCAAGGTCTTTTGTCAAATATTATCACCTAATTCAATATGTCATATGATATTTTTTTAAATTTTTTCAATTTCATTTAAATTCACTTGGCAAATTGTGTTAGAATGCTCAAAACCCAACAGCTATTTATACTTAAGGCTAACTAGGGTTTCAAGGTGTAAACTCTAATCCCTTAGCTTAGGGCCTAAGCAAGTCCATGGACTCCTTTCCTTAAGCCCTTGGACGAAAAATCCTAGATCCTTCTAGGATTTCGTTCAAGCCTTAATAACGGTGATCCAATGGCCCAAAGCCTCAACTATTGAATAATTACAAAATAGCCCCTGCACTTTCAGTCAGTTCCTTTAATCCGAAAATTAATTCTAAATAAATTTCTAATTAAATACTAATTAATAATATGATTCCAAATTAATATATTATTCATATAATATATTAACAAATCATATTTATATCCTAGTTTATTATTCTTAACAATAAACCAGCCTCTCCCCTCAACAATCATCTTTTCTAGTCACCAGTGTGAAGGCAACCCAAAAGGACCATGCACAATCGGGTCAAGTACATACTAAAATAGTTATGGACTTAGACACTAATCTAACCGTCTCCCAATTGGATAAGTCTAATAACTATTCTGCGTATAACCTCAGATCCTGATTAGCAATCGTAGCTTTCAAAAGCCGTTGTCAACTCTGATCTTATCAGAAGCGTTCCTTTAGATAAGGGATCATATATTCCTCCATTCTTGATATCATATAGACTTGAGACATGGATTGAAATCATTCTCTCAGTCTATGTGTTGTTTCCCGATTTCCGATTTGTGACGGCTGACAACAGACTACAATTGAACACATCAAATTAGTCTCGGCTTGGCCAAACGCTTAGGGTGTCATCACTAAATCATCGAGGGGCCCACATATATCGCTTTCATCCTACTTTGGATAAAAGGAACAAATAAACTTTGAATCAATTCTTGCTTGCACTCACTTACCGAATCACACACAACAATATGTTTTATAACACCAAGTTACTGGTGCGTTTACATATTATCAATGTGTAACCGACTCGCAAGATACAACTGACACATCTCGGTTTCAAGAATATAAGATATTATCGTCTCACCAGTCACTCGTGATAAAATCCATGAAGTGATTCTTGTGAGTGTGGGTTTAATCCAATGCTCAAAATCATATTTATAAGCACTCACGAACGTTGCAGCAAACCTTTGCTATGTCTAATACACTTTAGACAATCTACAAACCAATTCATGATAGTTTTCATTCATACCTACTTCCAACATATGAACGACTGTGGTCTGTTCGAATACTTTGATTATTCTGAAATAATTAATTATTCGGGAAGTCAAAACATGCAAAGTGAAACACAAGAATAATACTAATCCTATATGGTCCCAAACCTTTGAGTATAAATAAAACACCTTTTATTTATCACCATATCGATTACTCATTATTTGTTGTTTCGGTTAATTAAATTATTACTTGAATTATTACTACAATTGTCCCATGCTCTTAGCATGCACACAATGTTTACTTATGGTCCTTACTTTGTGAAATAGATCAAATGAACACCTTTCCAATCATACTCATTTCACAACTCCTAATCCTTATCTTAAGTATAAGAATATCAAATTTTTGCCACTTATAGAATATGCTAGATTCTAACATTTTATGCAATGATCCTTTCATAAAGTCATAGCTCAAAATCATAAAGACTTGGCCAATATCTATCAGAAACAATTCTATAGGTATGATGTCTCTCACTCAAAGTACATTCCTTTGAACATCCTTCTTGCATAAAAGTTTCTAATCTAGACATAGATTCTTAATATCCAACTCACAATATGGAAACATTTCCATATTTGCCATATGAAAAATCTTTCTTAATATAATCTTATCTATTCATAATAATGTCGATATGGTCCATCCAATACCATACTTTCAACTACTCACAAGCAACCAATCTGCAGCGAACTTTGAATCGTTCTTTGATAGTTGCTTAATTATCTTAGTCAAAACCGATTCTTGTCCTTTTTCCCTCTTAATGTGCTACTAACTGAAACATTCAAACATCAATTTTTTATACACATCATTGCAAGGATAAATAAATAATATAAAATCAAAATTTATTTTATTGCGGAAAGATTTGTCCTTACAATGCAATTCAATTGAAAACTATGTTAATACATATTTCATAGCAATCTATTCTAACTCCAAGTAGTAGCTCAAAATTCTAATCTTCAAGCAATGTGATCGAAATCCGTTTCTTCACGATTAGATTCAGCTCACTTCTTCCCTTAAGCTTCCTCTCTTTTCTTCGATCCTATAAAACGTCAAAATGTAATCTTATTATATCATGTATTAAGAATCTAGAATAGGAACTTAAAAGAGTTAGTTAATGGATTTTATCTAAAGTAGAGCCATACATCTTGACTCTCCCATCTCTTAGATCTCTCAGGTAAATAGGGCAGCTTCGTCTCTAATGCCCCTTCTCTTGGCAATAAAATCAAATATGCTATTTTAGAATGGCACAATGAACTATCTCAGAATATACCTTTTCTGGATCTCCAATGTCACCATTTTCAATGTCTATTGAAGTTTGGGAGTTTGATTTACCAGACAAATTTGCTTGACCAGCTCGACAAATCATTGTTGATTCAACAGCTATAAGCAAATAGGTCAAATCAATGAGGGTCACGTTATGATCCATCATATAGTACTCTCTAACGAACTCACTATATGATTCAGGAAGCGACTGAAGAACCCAGTCAACAGCTAACTTACCTGAAATCTCGACACCTAACATCCTTAACCTATCAATGTGTGACTTCATCTCTAAGACGTGTACACACATAGGTTTCCAATGTTTACTTGCCAAAAGGGCTTGAGTGAGCTTGAACTTTTCAAGCCTTCGAACTTGTGGGTTAGGGAGAATAGTTGGAGAAAGTGGAGGTAGTGAAGCATGATATCTTGTTCCTCGATCATATCGTGGAATATCATCTTTGTTTGGAAAGCTTGTTCCATAGGATTTTGGAAGACCATGATTGTCATAACTTTGACATCTACAAAGCTGGAGAAAAATTCAAGTTAAGTTGATTAGAATCCTTGATGTGACACCCAAATGAAACATCGAGGCTAGGATCCAACACCATACTCTACAACTTAGAAGAGGGATGCTGTAATCTAGTTGCAGAATATTTGAAGGTAGGTAAATGACTATTTACCAATTTCCACCATGAAAAAAGAAAAGGAAACTTAAGTTTCAAATGTATTGAAAACTCCTTTATCTTTTGAGATTTATTGAACTTTTCAATGGCTTGTTTAAATCTCGATATGCCCCTCGATTTGTGACTGGGATGCCGAGGATCACAAAACAGGGTGTGAATAACCATGCAAACTTACATGGTGCCCCCAATGTTACAGTCACCTATTCGATGTGCCGGTTAACCACAAACGCTCCACCGAACTATGACAAACAATGAGTCACGGTTTGATACCTTTGCTTAGAACCATTTAGTGTGCCAGTTAACCACACATGCTCCACTAACGTCTTTGCAAGGGCACTAGGTGTAATTTCATGGAATTGCATCAATTCACTTTTGCCTAAAGTAACTAAGATTGGAAATTTTGTAAAACATATAATTACTTTATACTTCATTATACTTTTAATGGAAAAGGGTTTGCCCTATCCTACCCGTTCGGCTAACGACCCTCCACCAATCAAGGAAGCGGTGGGTGAGAGTGGACACCCATTAAACGACCATTTTATAGGCCATAACCATATACCCCCCCTTATAGATCGGCTTCGTAAATGAGGCCTACTAATGGTAAGACTAGCAATTTAAGTTATACACATATAATATTAGACTTTTAATGTTATATATAGTATAAGGGTGTATTTTATGCTTTTAAAATACTAGGTGGTTTAATTTTATAAATTACACTTTTAATTTAATTAAATATAAACCATATCATTATGGATTTATTAACTCTCTTTTAATTATACACTTAATTAATTTAATAAAACCATAAGGGTGTAATTTGAACTTTTCAAAATTAGGGTTTTAGAATTTAGACTTTTTCAAAATTAAACCTTTTAATCAAACAATTTAAATTCCAAAACTTCAAGGGCAAGTTTTGAAAGTTTTCAAAACATAAGCAAGAACATTCTAGATCAAATTACAAATAATAATAATTAACCAATTAATTAGTAATTATCTAAATATGACCTAATTCAGTTTCTTGCAAGATAATCTATCATATAATTCAAATAAATCAAGTTTATCACATAAGAAATGATTATTTAATTAACTTGACAATTATCTTTTATTTTGGTAAGGATATCTTTTAAATTAAACAATTAATTTAATCTAATCCCTTAAATCCCCTAGATTTAGAAATTATGGGATGTGATAAATCAAAATCTTTAATTACCAAATTTGAACATTTAAAGGATAATTACAAGATATGGCATTATCCAAATCCCTAAAATTTAGGATCTAACCTTAGGAAGGAGGCAATTTCGAAATCCAAGGGTTGGATAACCCTAGATTTCAAAATCTTGGAGGCTAAGGAAAGGGTTTAAAACCCTATCAAAAAATTGCCAACTAGGGTTTTCCAACCCTAATTGTGAAAATTACAAAGCCCTAGGGTTTACTAGCAATAAACCCTAATTTGTCAAGTTCATACATTATAATAATGCTAATTGAAATCAAAAACCAATGGCTCTGATACCACTGATGGGTTTTAAACAAACAATCTTATATGTGCATGCAACCCTAGAGTTGGATCTATGTTTTCACTATTAGTTATACAACTTTATGAACACAAAAAGAAACCTGGCATGCTACTATTATTTTCGAAATTCATATATAAAGATAGAATACATACCTTTTGTTGTTATATAGCAATAACAACTAGTTCCTTGAATTTCCTTAGCTCTTGAAAGCAAGTA